GTTTACTCTTCTGATGCACAAGATACAACACCCTCACTATCAATACTGTTATCCTGTTGCACACGCCCTCTCTCCCTCCCTCACTCCCTCCCTCCCTCCTCCCTCCCTCTCCCTCCCTCGTCTCTTCCATGTCATCTTTCCTTCATTCTTACGTTCCTTCTTTATCTGTTATACCCAATTCTCTTCTTCCATCTCCACGCCTCTCCTCTCCAACACTCTAGGACCTCCCCACTCTTTCACCTGCATCACCACCTCTCCCCACTCCTCATCCTGGACCCCACCCCCCAGACCTACACCACCCCCCCCAGACCTACCCCCCCCAGACCTACACCCACCCCCCCTAGACCTACACCACCCCCCCAGACCTACACCACCCCCCAGACCTACACCACCCCCCCAACCACCACCCCCAACCTACACCCCCACCTACCCCCCCCAGACCTACACCCCCAGACACCACCTACACCACCCCCCACCCCCACCCCCCACCCACCCCCCCAGACCTACACCCCCCCAGACCTACACCACCCCCCAGACCCCCCCACCACACCCCCCAGACACCACCCCCCCACACCCCCCCAGACCTACACCACCCCCAGACCTACACCACCTACACCACACCACCTACCACCCCCCCCCCAGACCTACCCCCAGACCACACCACCACAATATATATTTTCTTCACTTTCATTTTCATTTATTATTCATTTCTTTAAACCTTTATAAGGAGTTGGTGTTAACTAATTTTCAAGGGGTTAAACTAACACCTCCATAAGGGTTAATACCTCGTTCTTGAGTGGTTAAATCATCTTAAAAGAGATAAAACTACCGTTCTTAAAAGATTAATCCCTCGTTCAGCTTTTAAATCCGTCCTCAAAGGATTAGTGGGATTTATTTGCCATTTATGCCGTTTGTTTGTGTAATATTTGCGAGTTAATTCCTAATGCAGTTGTTGTTGTTGTTATTGTTGTTGTTATTGTTTCATATTATTATCCTTATTATTATTCTTGCTGTTTTCGTTAATATTGTTGTAATGTATATTATTGTTTATTATTATTATTATTATTATTATTATTATTATTATTATTATTATTATTGTTTACTTTTTCTCAATATTTTACACTTATTGCATTATTACTGTACGTGGTGATTCCTCAACATCCATCTTGTTTTATCTCTCTCCATTATTACCCTCGTTCCTCATCTCTCACTTTCCTCATCTCTCACCTTCCTCATCTCTCATCATTCTTCTTATTGCTCCTCTCGTCATTATTCTCTAAACATTATTTTTCTTTCTTCCATTCGTTTTAATTTTTCATATTCTCTTGTTTCTTCTCATTATCTTCTCTCTTGTTTATTATGTAGTTTATCTGTGTTTTTTTGTGTTTTTTTCGCTTTGTGTTTTTTCCTCTAAGGTAACATATAGTGAAGAAAAATATATAAAGCATAAAACAGGAAAATCTGATAGAAATTTACATGCAAGATAGCTAGGTATTCAGGATGGAGTAATTTACATCACAAAGGTCTCATTGTCAAGTCTTGCCTAGTATCAGTTTTCAAGTAGATCTTTCTTTGGGTAAATATATGCCCTGTAAATGTGTAGTTAAAAGTATATATATTTTCATGTATGTTAGGTGTGGTAGAAAGTATATATAATTCCATGTAAGTTAGTTATATGTAGTAGAAAGTATATATAATTTAATCTACGTTACTTATTTTTTTTTTATTGAAACGGGTAAAAGTATGAAGTATTATATGTTGATAGTCCAAACTAAAGGAAGGGATAATTTTATTGATATATATTGTGAACCTGATTTAGTGTTGCGGCATCCCTGGGCGTCGTGTGCCTTATAAGTGGGTGTCCTGGCAGCCCTTCGTCAGCCAGCCCTCCTGACGTGTTCCTCCTCCTCCTCCATGAAGGTCGTTACTCCACTCACTCGTCCTTTACACGTTTACCTTCTTGTATGAGTCGTTAGTGACCGTTAAAACCGTTAAGTATTTGTATTTTGATTTAAACTTTGATGGTGATTGATTGTTGGTGTCATTAGTCGTTAGTGTACTGTTTAAATCATCATTAGCTGTTGGGGTGTCGTACTTGGAACTAGTTTGTCCTTTGTTAGGATTATGATGTTCTTAATTCGTCTATATTATGGTGGACGAGTGGTTACAGGGCTCGTCTTCCATCCTAGAGGTCGCTGGTTCGTTTTTAGGGTATTCCTGGTCCACACAGTTGTAAATTATAACTATCTTACTCTACTGGTTTGGGTTAAGTTAGTGAAGTCATAATCGTTAGAAGTTTCTGAGTCTTGATTTAAGAAGTGATGTCTTCTGTCTGTCTCTTGTAGTCTTCAATAACTGGTCAACTAACTCCAGTCTCTCTCAACATGTCTCAGTTCTCTGATGTAGGAGTTGGTAAGTTGAGACAGATATAAGTCGTTTAAATCATTATGTTCTTTTTAAACATTTGTGCGTTAGTTGTCTCCCATTAGTATATGTTTCAATAAAAGCGAATGTTAACGGAGCTTTAACCAACTTACGTAATATATAAGACAACTCTCTCACTGCTGCGGGTATTTTCCTCACACTAACAGTTTTGTATTAAGAACATTCTCAAGTCTGTTGTGGGTTATAAATTGCCTCCCGGAATGCCACAATCTGTCTTCATTTTCGTCGTGTTTTGCAAGACCCAAATCATTTTCCTGACATTATTTTTTTGGTAATGGTCTGGTCTAAACAGTGTTTCTTTATCGATGTGGTTAAATCACTGTCAGCTATGAGGTATTTTTTAGTGGAGTTTGAGTAAGTATTCTTAGTGGAGTTTTAGACTGAGTGAAAACAATCAATTAGTCAGTTAGATGATACTGGGACACGTTTCTAATCACTCATGTTGTGTTGTGTCCATGGGCTGTGTGTCGGTGTTGGTGGTGACGCCCCAGGAGTGGTGGGCGTGAACATGTAGCTCCTGGGGCACACCTGCACCTGGTAGCTACGTACCCTCTTCTGACCTCCTCCTTCAGGCAACTTATTCATTGACGACCTCGCCTCATTAATCTTCTGGCTGTGGGTCCTGTATCTCCCCTCCACCTCTGTCACTCTCTTTCCTATTGTTCTTGATTAGACACTTTGTTATAGTCGTTGTCTGGGTAATAGTTTTATACCTCTCATGACGGATCCAAGCATAACACTACTCCAAGCATTATGTCTGTTCCCACCATCACTATTTTTGCCTATTAGAACCCACCGTGTGTCTCAAGTCGACCTACAGTGTGTGACATCAGTACATTGGCCTCATATACTATACCTTTATGTACCTTTTAACAGTTCTCAGGGTGTGTGTAATGATCCTCCCTGCCATCCCCAAAGTGCACACTCGATTAATCTTGAGTTTGCCTCTGTAGTTCCTCCTTGTTGCAGACTTGGCCAATCTCTTTGTTACCCCTTCATCATCCGTCAACTTTCCCACCAAATTCTATTCCCTTGTGGGTGGATGGTTACGCCACCAGGGAGAACATGTGGATGATTTGCCTCCCAGAGCGATCACGATCCACCTTTACACACCTTGGAAAGTTCGAGGGTTCGATATTTCTTTTACACTGTTTCCGGGAGGTCGCCAGCGTGTCCCCTGCAATCTGGCTCATCTTGACGCCTTATAATAGTTGTTAGACAAGATGAAGTGTCTATTATATCCTTCAAATATTCAATAATCTTGTCTTATAACCTATTGAAGTTTATGCCATTGTTCAAGGGTAGTTGGTGAGTAATGTGAGTGAGTAACAGAGCTCAATGACTGCGTTACTCGGGCGGATGGTCTGTGGTGCATATAACTGATGGCTTTGTTCCTTGATGTGGAAGGATGAGCAACTCACTTAGCCCGGTAATCCTCCTAGTTTATATTATATATAGATCCGGCAACAGTGATTCATGAACCAAATAGGCGACAGATCTTACAGGAAAGAAATTGTTGTTTTTTTTCTGTTTAGACAATATATTTTTTTTTACTGGGGTTTATTTATATATTTATGTCTTTTATTGATGTGAAATATAAGGTTGTAAGATGTGAAATAGATTGTTCTATAGTTCACACACACATATAGGTAGCTGGTATATCTTGAAACCTGGATGGTGTTTAATGAAAGATTGAGAAGGAAGAAAGAGGAGGACTTTGGCTCTACACTTCATATATAATCAAAAGAAAACAAAAGATACATAACAACAGCTCACCACACATCTCGTTTTCTTTAAGCTAATTAACTAGATCCTATTTTTATTATATGATTAACTACAATAAAACCCAAACATTTGTATTCGCTTAACTCTTACTATAATATTAAACAGGAATCAATGCACGTAATTATATTGAAGACAGAAACTACATTAAAGGTTGACTATTCATGGTTTAATAGTCTTCTGTTTTGAATAAGATGGACGAAGATTTATCCCAGTATTTAAAAACTGGGTTGAATGTATTGCTTCCACGGTGTAAGATAATAATGAACCGGTTTACTGGGACTCAGGATGTTGGTGAGGTAGTCTACAGCACTTTATATGCCTGAGGGAAATTGTGTTTATAGAAGTTATTAATGTAGTTTTGGGAAATTGAGAGAGAGAGAGAGAGAGAGAGAGAGAGAGAATTGATTTATGATGATTAAGTTTGAGAATAAAACTTGTATTTATTAAAGTGAAATATGATAGTGAAGTATATTGAGGTATTATGGTATGGGTTAGGAATATATGATGGAAAGTTGGTTATTATGTAATTCTGATGTCTTAAGAGGGTTTGCATCACATGAAGATTAGCCCCCCTAGGTGAAATAAACTAGGGGTGCTAATCCTCATGTGTTTTAGGGGCTCTTTATGATGACTGTGTTTTGTAGTGACTCTTATTATAATACTTACACAGTTTGTCTCTCTGTAGCCAACCTGTGTGTGTGTGTGTGTGTGTGTGTGTGTGTCAAGTTACAAGTCCCAATTCCTAACAATATTCTCCTTTGTCTCCTCAGCATTGGCTCGACCCAGCTAAGAAAGTGGTGAAACAGCTCAAAGGTAAGAAATAATTACATCTCAGTATTCTGCCTCCAGTAGATAGCCACTCATTTTCTACAAGAGTTCCGAAGTAAGTAATTAAGTAAGTAATAAAATGCCATAATCCTCTATAATTCTCTGTAATTCTCTATAATTCTCTCGGGTGGAATTAAAATATTATTGCTCCTTTGTATAATTTATTTTTAACATCAAGATTACCAACATTTATTTCAATTACCCCCATTAATAACCACAATACTCAAAATGTTAAATTCATCCGAGCATTGAGGTGATTTCAACCCGAGATTTAACGTGTTAGTTATCAAGAAACATTCAAGTCTTCCTTAAAATTGTGTCTTGTTAAATGTTTAGGTTAATATTGTCAAGGTTTAATTCCCAGTCACTTTATAAGGCCAGTTGATGTTTCTCTTAGATTTAATCGTATTATTAGTATTCATGTGTCAAGAATATGTTTAATTATAATCATACGGTGAGGGCGAGTGTGTTGGTGAGGGCGAGTGTGTTGGTGAGGGCGAGTGTGTTGGTGAAGGCGAGTGTGTTGGTGAGGGCGAGTGTGTTGGTGAGGGAGTGTGTTGGTGAGGAGGTGTGTTGGTGAGGGCAGGTGTGTTGGTGAGGCAGTGTGTTGGCAAGCGGAGTGTGTTGGTGAGGGCGAGTGTTGGTGAGGGCGAGTGTGTTGGTGAAGGCGAGTGTGTTGGTGAGGGCGAGTGTGTTGGTGAGGGCGAGTGTGTTGGTGAGAGCGAGTGTGTTGGTGAAGGCGAGTGTGTTGGTGAGGGCGAGTGTGTTGGTGAGGGCGAGTGTCATGTTTATTTGTGAAGCCTCATAGATACACTTAAAAAAAACCTAACCTAACCTAAACCTACCACAATATAAACATGAAAATACTAAACTAAACTAAACCACATCGTTAAACCATTCCCCCTGTCGTGTTGTAAGACCATTAACACCTACAAAAGGTTTAATGTAATGTAACAGTTTCTTCCTTCCCCCCAGAACCACACACACACACACACACACACACACACACACACACACACACACACACACACACACACACACACACACACACATACACACACACTCTTCGCTCCTGTATGGTCGGGTAACAATGGTGCTCCCTTATGCGATAATAACTTGGGGTGGTGTTGTAAAGAGCGAGAGGAACCACCTGCTAGGGGAACCTGTAGAGGATGAAGGGGGAGAGAAGGAGATGTATCGTGTAGAGATTTTTGTATAAGACATAATTTTTTTTTTAGGTATATTTCTATTCTATATAAATATTTAGGCCTATTTAATCAATTAGTTGGAGGTGTAGTGTTTTTTGTCGATTAATTATAAGCTTCAGCTGTTAATAATTGAGAGTTTTGTAGCTTAGACCAGTGTAAGAGAACACAGAGAGACACACAGAGGGAGATAGGGGAGGTAGAGAGAGAGAGAGAGAGAGAGAGGGGGGGACGAGGAGGGTGACAGCCCTAGAACTGAAAGAGAGAGAGAGGGACTCGTGACTCGTATATAGTGTAGGGGGCCCTTAAGACAAAGAGTGAACTCGGGGGCAGGGGGGGTTAGTGATCCGACCCTGAAGGAGAGCTTAGGAGAAAGAGAGAGGAGGAGACCTTAATATACAGGTACTCGTAACTCGTCCATAGAGAGAGAGAGAGAGACAGAGAGAGAGATACTCGTAATTCACACACACACACCATCTGGCATTGTTTCAACAGGTAAGCTTCCCACGCAGCGTTATGTGTACCTGAGAGAAGAACATTGTGAGCTAGATTGCGTATTGCGACAGGTGTGGTGTGGGGCTCAGAGGTGTGTGTAGGGGAGGAGGGGAAAGGCGGCCATGTATGGTAGGGGAAAATGGGTGTATGGAGGAGGAGGCTATCGGGTGTGGTGGGGTTTTGATAGATGGGGTGTGGGGGGTAGAGTGTCTGGGGGTGGGTTTAGGGAGGCAGAGGGTGTGGGTTTGGGGAAAGAGAGGAAATGGAGTTTTATGAGTGGAGATAAGGAAGGAAGGAAGGATGGTAATAATGTTGGGGAAGACGATGGTGATGAAGGGAACAAGAACATAATTTGGAACATAAAAGAAGAAGAGAAAATAGTGGGTGAAGGATAGTGAAGCAATTTAGATAAGGGAATTTATTGATCCCTTTTATAGAAAATCTCTCTCTCTCTCTCTCTCTCTCTCTCTCTCTCTCTCTCTCTCTACTCGTTCATCTCAATAAACAGGAATCACAAACTCAGAAAACATGTTCGAGCTCATGTTATATTCACCTTCAGATTCTTCCACAAGTTAAGAGTCTAAATGATGACATCTTAACTTGAGAACAAAAAAAAAATATGCTTTAAAAAGATCAGTGTGAAGGCATTACAAGATGAAGGCAGAACATGTGTAGTAGCTTCAGCGCCATTGCCATCAAGGTTAGCGGCGGTTGTGATGTCTCGTTACAAATTGGGCCACTCGTCTGGTTAGCTATTCTGTGCGTGGGTTTATCAAGGTGGGTGATAGCCGGGCATAAAATTGGTATAGCTCGTGTGATATTGTACCCGGAGGTGTGTAGGTGTATAATGGCCCAATACTGGTTTTTCGTAGTGATAGATTTGTGAGTTGCCTCTGTTTACGGTTTTTGCTGAGGTGAGTGTGATTGGACATCGATAGAATTAATTGGATTTTATTTTCGTGTTTATTTGTGTATTATTGTGGGTTTTTTTTATTTATGATGCAAAATGATAATAATGGTGGCTATTTAAGATTGATAAAAGGTTTAGAAGCAATCAGGTTACATCGTAATTATTTGCCATTGTCTCAAATAATAATTCTGATTACTTTTAACCAACCAGACATTAAATTTCATATCAATATCTCAGAGAAGATCACACGGGGAACTAAAAAAAAAAAAGTACCGATGAAACCTACCGTGTAATTTACCATTGTTAATAAACCCCTTGAAACACGGCTCTGAGATGAAGGTAAATTGAACAACATTTCCCTTAAGTACACAGTTGAGGTACTATGAGTTGGCAGTTTCGTCCAGGTATTATCCTTTATCATGTTGACGCGTATACCAGCTGTTCGTCTGTGTTACCAAGGTCTTTGTTACTACCTGATGATGTGGCAAAGGTTATATCTAACATGCATTACAGATAAGGGCTATATGTCAGGTGTTCGGGTGGTCGTGCGTGTGTGTGTGTGTGGTGATAAATTCCTTCAGTGGTGGATGGTAATAGCGTTGAGGGGTTGATGTCTGGTAGTGTAGGTTGATGTGTGGCTTGTTGTGGAAAATTATACAAGAACAGAAATCAGGCATTGTGGTCATGTCAATACGCCACTAGCAAGTATCCTGAAGCTGTTGTGTCCCAAGTGTTCGTTGTTGACAGTGATTATTATTAGTATTATTATTATTATTATTATTATTATTATTATTATTACATTACCTCCTCCTTCATTCATTCTTTACATTTCTATAACCAATCTCAATCTGGCTGACGGGGGCTTTCTAACCACGTGCTGTTATGCCCCCTTGTGAGAGAGTCCAACACTGTCTCACTTCCAAAATGAAATACACGAGAGAGTTACAAAAATACAGAGACTATTGTGTTCTTCTCCGATAAAACATTAAGTAATTTGGTAAACTCGTTGGCCAGGTGAAGTTAATATCATAATTTTATAAGTTATTTTTCCTTGTTTGTGTAAGTCAGTGTTTTTGTTTAATACTATACCTACATTACGAGGAACAAATAAAATACTCTAGAAACATTGACTTATTTAAACGTTTACTTTCAGTATTATTCGAATTCATGATTAGGGGAAATAGTTAGATAATCCTTGTGTTAGTTACGTGCAATTGCAATATTTTATTAGAACAAAAGAATTAAAGGTTTCTTGTGTATAATTGAAAAGAAGAAGAAGAAAACAAAAATGAAGAGAGATAAACAGGTATTGGATATTATTGTGTTAGTATCCAAGTCTTTTTTTTTTATTATATCCAATGCTCTTTTGTTTGTGTTTATAGTTGCCATGACGACACCATCAAAACACCCCACCCTTTTATTTTTCCCACTCGGCATCACCAGTTAGTAGCCACAAATACTTCCGCCCGCTCATAAAACTTATTGTCATCTCACGTCTTTATATCTTAACACATTTGTTCTTTTACCGTCTACGAGTTTTTTGTTACCAGATGCTCTTATGTTTTCATGGTGTTTTTTTTGTGTATTTGTAGCTTTCAGGATTTTGTTTTTGTTTGCGAAGTTGGTTTTGTAATTGACGTCATTTTTTTCCTCTCAGCGGTGTCTAAACTTTTACACTTTTATTATTACTTATGTTTATTAGTAGTAGTAGTAATAGTAGTTGTAGTAGTAGTAGTGGTAGTAGTAGTAGAAGAAGTTATGTTAATTTTCTTACAATATACTTAATACTTGCCTCCTCCTCCTCCTCCTCCTCCTCCTCCTCCTCCTGCCTCCCTACCGTCTCTTATAAGTAATGTGAACTTTATTTCCCTGTTCGTCTTATTGTCCTGGGAAAAAAATATTCTTTGAGTCTTATCATGACCTCGGCTGCCTGATCGTGTCTTCACCCACCCACCTTCTCCTCTTCTCCTCTTCTCCTCTTCCTTCTTCGTCTCTCTGTATTTCTTTGTCTTTCTCTATTCACCATTTTCGTCCAGTTCGTTCAAATCATTCAGGGATTTTGTTGTTTTTGTTGTTTGTTGTTTTTTGTCTTGTTTATTTTATATCATTCCTCTGCTGTGATGGTTGTGGTAGTGGTGGTGGTGGTGGTAGTGGTAGTGGTGATGGTTGTAGTAGTGGTAGTAGTAGTGGTTGTGGTGGTAGTGGTGGTGGTGGTGGTACATGGCACGGGTCGTGATCAGTGAAAGTAATAAGGACGACCCTCTTGCCCCCTCACCGTAAATACTTCTACCACTACTGACTGATTCTCTCTCTCTCTCTCTCTCTCACCATTGACCTGTAGCGACGTATTTGCTCTCTTGTCTCTCTTTCTTTTT